ATAATCACATAGAATTAATCCGAAGTATTAATGCGATTATTGGCGACATCCATCGCTAGAAAACATAATATATGCATTAAAATCCTGTTCATCCATATATCGTCTCAAGTTTTTGATTTTATAAGCAAAAAAAACACATGCCTGATGATGGATGGAAGACTATCCGTAAGTACTAGCATTTTAACATCAAATAAACTGAAAAACTACAGACAACAAGTTTTTCTTCAAGGATCAAAACTCGCACTATGGATGAACAGGATTTTAATGCATATATTATGTTTTCTAGCGATGGATGTCGCCAATAATCGCATTAATACTTCTGATTAATTCTATGTGTGATTATTCTTTGTATGTAAATCATATGCTGCCTAATGTTTTATGTTTATATATATATATATATATATTCTGAAGTTCGTATGAGTGTGAAACTCGGGTTACGACTAGGGCCATCCTTTCATAGGCTTTAACGTTGTTAAGCGTGTTTTGCTCTGTCTATGCAATGTAGCCGTAGAGTACTTTAGTTTACTGAGTAGGTAGCTTTGCATTTAGGCCTTTTTTTCGTTTTTGTTCGAAGCGTTAATTTATCAACTGGATATTTATTTTTTCTTGAATAAGATTTTTGGAACATTCACTCCGGTATACGATCGAATCTTGCTGAGATATCTGTTCATACCAATCCAGCCGCAGATCTGTATACATTTCCGCAAATCACAGGGTACCAGCTGGTCGCGAAGGTGGCACTGCATGAGAAGACTGTCTCTCATGGGATTTCAGATGCGTAACGTTACTAGATTTAGACAGTAATAAACGATCACGCATCACACATTTCCAGCTCACTATTTTAGCATTCAATTCCTTCACAACGCCCCCTTTTAACAGACCCTCGTTTAAGTTCTGCATGCGCCAAGTTCTTTACTTCAGATGTCTTGCAGCCCTCTGTAATAATTTTCTGCCACTCAGTACGATTCTCCGCCATCTCCTGCCAATTCTCAACATAGAAACTGATTTAGATTGTTTATCACAGAATCCTTGAATGTCTTCCTAGGTTTATGTCTCCGACGTCAACCAGCAGTAAGCTCAACATAAAACAAATGCGTACTGCGTACGACCTTCAAAATAAACATGAGAAAGTCAAAATATTCAAAAATTTAATAGAGACAAATATTCAAATATATATTTTTATTATCGGCTTCTATTATAAAATTTATCTATTTATAACTGTTCATTTTTAACACTATTGGAATTACGTAGGTAACGTAATACTTGGCAAAAAATAGTTATCAATTTTACATTTTTAAATTTTAGGAAAAATTTTAATTAATAGGTAACTATAAAAAATCAATTTTCAATTACTATGCTTAAACTGAAGAATGTTTTACCGCACTAATCGAGTATTATGTATGTACTAAGCGAATTTTTATTTTATATAAAATTAGAGAACTAATCGAAAACGAAAATTCGAGGGATTCCTCTACTTGTCTTCTACCGTAATGTTGTAACATTACAAGAGACAGATCATGCCAAGAATGGAGTATTGCTACCATATCTAGATTGGTGCTAGCCAGACCTCTCTTTCCATCCTTGACAGAGCTCAAAATCTCTCACGCTTCCAGCTCTTGAGAAAATCAATCACTCGCAGACATCCACGCTTCGCATTTATATTAACCCTTTGATCCCTGCGTTCCTGAACAATTTTAACCCTTCTGTCTGAGCTCCTGACTCAAAATTCGCAAATAATTGGTATATAATGTTTCAAGGTAGATATAAAAATAGTTACAAGTGTTTACCCACCATTCAACCGGTGGCTAGGCATTAAGTCATTTTTCTCTACCACTGTTCAACCGGTGGCTAGGCATTAAGTCATTTTTCTCTATCACCGGTAAAACGGTTGTCAGGGCTCAAAGGGTTTATGTAAATATAGAGTTTAGACGAGGAAACTTACAGACCTGGACATATATTTTTACAAATACAAGCTTGAATATTAAAATTAAATTCTACTTTTTGAATTATAATCTAAATGTAAAAACGAATATTTGAAATTATAATAATAAAAAAACATTGAAAATTCATCAAACCTTTGAGCCCTGTGTTCCTGAACAATTTTAACCCTTCTACTGAGCTCCTGAGTCAAAATTCGCCAATTAATTGGTAGGTAATGTTTCACTTTTGGTAAAAAAATAGTTACAAGTGTTTACCCATCGTTCAACCGGTGGGTGGGCATTAAGTAATTTTTTTCTCTTACCACTGTTCAACCGGTGGCTGTGGATTACGTCATTTTCTCTACTACCGGTAAAACAGTGGTCAGGGCTCAAAGTGTTTATGTAAAGCATGTAAATAAAAAACATTGAAAATTCATCAACCATTTGAGCCCTGCGTTCCTGATCAATTTTAACCCTTCTGCCTGAACTCCGAAGTCAAAATTCGTAAATGATTGGTATGTTATGTTTCACGATAGATACAGAAATAGTTTACCCACCGTTCAACCTGTAACTTGACATTAAGTCATTTTTCTCTACCATTGTTCAACCTGTAACAGAGCATTACTTTATTTTTCTCTTCCACTGGTAAAGTGGCGGTCAGGGCTGAAAGTGTTTATGTAAAGATAACGTTTAGACGAGGAAACTTACTAACCAGGATATATATTTTTAAATTAGAAGCTTGAACATTAAAATTAAAATTCAAGTTCTGAATTATAATCTTAAAACAAATGCCATAACATTTGTCGTTCGTATATATTGATTAGATATTGTTCGGCCTCCAATTTTCAATTCATTGATATTGAAGTTTATACATAAAGTACAAAGACCCGCGTGATACACATTTTAACTTAAATAACGACGTTCTTATCTGAAATAAACTTGAGAAATCTTTTCAGTTGTCAAGAGTGGTTTGTCTTCTGCCTTGTTTGATTATCGACTGACGCGCCATGTTAATTATATTTAATTTAACTTAATGTGATTTCTTTAGACGGCAGTCGACTCTAACGGAAACGTTTTAATTTTGATTAATTCGATTAAAAAGTCGGATTGTATTAATATCGATTCATGTAGCTTCGATTACACCAAATAATCCTGATTTCGCAACGTCGTTTACAACGAACGTAGACAATGACCTATGGAATCTAGTTTAATACAATATATTTGAATGGGTGGTTGACTTAGCGGTTATAACAAGTGGAAATAGAGCCGGCACGCTTAGTTCAAATCGTCCATGTTTCATTATAATCCACTTTTCATTAATTCCCTTTTAAAACAACATAGCCTATACCCCACTTGCTATGGGTTAAATATCAAATTTAAATTCAAAAGCGTGTAAATAGACAGGGCAGTTTTATGCTTTCTAGGACAATTCACGTCCTACTAGTTTTAGCCTCTACGTCTGAGAACCACCATCCCATGTCCTATTTAGAAAACCGCCGTCACTACGTTCGTAGCCCATTGGTGGGATGCAAGTTCCACTCGAACAGCTCTTTCCCTCGAAGCGCTACTGTAAAACCGACTCCCAAGATTATGCTTTCCCAATCGGTACAATATTAACTTGTTCAAGTCTAAGGTTAACTGTTATTGTCCCCACATATCCTTGTAAAATGTGCTCCTTAGCTGTTACTCTGTAACCCTCTCGCTCAAGTGTCTCTTGGGCCTTGTACATTGTAAATATTATTGTAAAAATGCTTCGAGAAGGATATGTTCTGTCAGTTTATCTTGATGGAGAAATATATTTTTTAATAAAATTAACCCATTACAACGTTTGAGAGTCACTCAACTTTCCATATCAAATGTTACTGTTGAATGGGACGCGAGACATGAGTGGAAGAATAATTGTAGGAAGGGGGTAATTTCGAGGGTAAGAGGGACACTTGACTTCAAGAAGAGTTCAGGAAACCACTCACGTCGTCCTCTCTTCCACAAAATGTTGCTTCAGGGGAAAACTATCTGAGTGAAACATCTTAGAACACGGAGAAAAGAATAACGACTGACCCTCGACTTGAAACGGCGGGATTAACGACCCTCAACTTTTATGGGGTAACTAGCTCCACACCCAACTGGTTGTAAATACAGAGTTGAACCTCTTACAAATCAATGCTACCGAGACAATTCTACCTTGCTATTAACAGACATTTCTGAAATTAGAATTTTTCTGGTTTTCAACATCCCATATCATTATCTGTCTATATTTCTGAGATGAGGTATTATGTACACTATTTACATTATTCGGACACATGCCGCAGTGGATAAAGGCGTTAGTTAGATCCAGTGACAGGATCCAAAAAGAGTGTTTTCAATACCCGGTTAAGGCAGTGGAGAACTTGGAGAGGGGAATTAACAAGAGATAACTGATAACTGACATCCATTTAAACGTGGCACATGGAACTAGAATAGTCTACCTGAGTGAGCGAAGTCAAGGGTTCAGTTCGACATTCCAACCACCTGATGAAGGCCGGAGCGTACAGCGGCCGAAACGTTGTAATAGATATGGCAACAAAGATGAGGACAATAGTCCAAATAATGTAAATAATCCCATATCATTATAACTATATGGCTTTCGCATATTTACAAAATAGAAATGTTGCTTCTATTTTCTTATCTTCGCGCTTCCATGATATGGTCTTTCGAGATGGAGATATCGGATAACTTTTGACTGTCATTTTCTATCCTATCCTATGCCTATGGTTGATATTTATAGCATGTCAACTTCATATCGACAGCAAACTTAGGACATTATCCCCAATAGATTATCTCATGTCATTACTTTTTACTCTGCCAACTTGGGATATTCACCGACCACATGTTTAGCTATCTCATCAGCTTGCTCATATAACTTGTATTTGCCTTTATTCGCGTGATCTGTCGATTCTGGTCTTGACTGCATTCTTTCTGAAGACCCGCTCATGTGCTGCAAATACGTGGGGGTCTGTTTTTCTCTCTTTTTGAAACAATATTCTTTTACACAAAGCTACCTCTGGGTCCAGCAATTGTTTTCGTGCGCTGAAAAAAAAATCTATGAAGCTCCTTTTCTTTGTTACCGCATATCCTTACGCTGCTTCGCGACTGCAGTCACTGCTTCAAAACTTGGCGCTTGAAGATCCCCGTCCACACCACGTGCAGCTGTCAGAAGCAATCATTAAGAAATCAACATTATTCTCAATTCCAAGAATAGCTAATGACACAAATTCTTCAGCACTCATTAACTCTTTGCCTCCAATCCTTGTTAAATATACAGCCTATCGACATCACTGACTCCACAGCCTCATGCGCATTCATCGACATTCGCCTACTTCTCTAAGTCTATATAAATTCAATCTAAGTATTTCTACAGAATAGTGTGGCTGAGAGTTTGACCAAATATTTGTTTAACCCAAGCAAGGCGATAAAGCCACTGACGTGCAAGTGGACTACTAGGAGTGAAAGAGAATTAAAAGACTTTAGAAGGAACCCGGGACCTAATCCTAAATAGGAAACAAGGTATAAACTTATACTTCTGTTAAAAATACCGAGGGAGGAGGAGTATGAACCGGTCATCAGGACTAACGGTTTATCCCGTGTCTCCTATTTAGAATTTGGTTTTAGATTTGTTTCAAGAATTTTCATTACATATCTGAAATTCTCAGCTTTATTTTTCTTTCTTTCATTTCGCAATGCTTCACCTGATTTTCTTGGAGAATATCAAGATGCTTGTAAGTCGCTTCCGTTTTCAAAGATCTCGTGACTTCTCCATCCGGTAATGGTATTCGCTTAGATTCAATTCTTTTCTTTCGCTTGATGCTTAAGAATGGCTCATTTGTCAATGCCAAATTCCATCTGAATATTTTCGCTGAACCTATAAACACTCCACATCAAGGAACCAAGATGCTTTCCACTCCTGCCATATAGTTTCAAGTCGTCGATAAAAAAATAAGCGGTTAATTATTTTGCCCGTTACCACTAAGATTGAAAGAGAAGGAAAAGACTTTAGAAGGAACCGGAAACCTAATCCTAAATAGAAAACAAGGCATAAACTTTTACTCCTGTTAAAAATACCGAGGAGGAGTATGAACCGGTCATTTCAACAGGGATACCGGTTTATCCATGCTTTTCACTCCTACCATATAGTTTGAAGTCGTCGATGAAAAATAAGTGGTTGTTTTGCCCGTTAACAGAAAATACATAGAAATTTTCTGCACTTCCTAGATGTACCAGTGAGATTGAATACATAATAAAGGTAAGAAAAGGTAAGAGGCAAAAGTGTGTCCCCTTGAGAAATACCTCTTTTCATATCTATTTGTCCCAAGGACTCATCACATGTCAATTTGACTCTCCATGATTGCATACTGCCTTCCAATAACTATCTAATTTGATTTGAAATACCCAGAATATCAAGGCATCATACAATCCAGGAATGTAGCATCAAGTCATCGGCTTTGTTGTAGTCTGTTCATGACATGGACAGATTTTTCCCTCAAGCAATGTTATCTTCTCGATGTGGAGGTAATTTTTACTTCTTCCTGCTCCATTTCTGCTCTTCAGGAATTAATGAATGAGCCCCCAAGTTGACATAAATCTCCTCTGCTATGAAACCGGTCTTCAACTTCCAAATTAATGGAAGACATGTTATCGTTCGATAGGTACTTGCCAACCTTCCTTTGACCTGGCCTTTCACCATTAGTACAGTCCGACTAAGAGTTATCCAACTGGAACATTTCCATTATAAACACAAGACAGAAAAGTAATATCCCTGTCCATAATCAAGAGTAACTATTTTACAGTTTTCTTTTCTGATAACAGTTCTTTCCTGCGTCCAGTCTTCATATAAGTCACCCGTTGCCATTTGTGGCTATTCCGTTTCTTTCCTGTGTTCTTTCTTCTTTTCCCCAATCTAAAATGGCTGTGCTTCATTTATATCGCGTGCCTCACACTCGTCAGTAGTTCCACCATTGTTCAAGTGCACTATATTTAGAGATCATTGTTAAAATCAAAAGAAAAACTAGCAATATCATTCGTCCTGACCAGGCATAACGGCTTCAGTCACTTTCCCACCGCCGTAATTTAACTTCCTTGTACTTTTTCTATAAATACATTCATGGTAAATGCTTTAATAAATTTTCCTCTACGGTAGCTAAAATCTATGAATTCAAGCGCATTACTAGATGGACGGCAAGATTTCGTCAATTTAGAGGTGAAATACCCGGATATAACCGTAATTTTTATTATATTATTTTCTTTTCTCAGACTTCTCCCTTGTGGAATTATCTTACGGCTTCTTGCTTTCAAGTTAACCAGTTATGGTAAAACCATTACTAAATGATTCCTGTACTAAAATCATTGATAATTCGTTCTTGTTAAATTATTTCCAAGGAATTCTTACAATTATTTTCTATAAATATGGGAATATTTTCTGTAAATAATTTCATGGTAATTGTTCTGAAGAACTATAGACTTTACGAATTTAAACGCAGTACTAGATTGGCGGTAAGGTCACATCATTTTGCAGTTAAAATGGCCAGATATGAACATAAGTAATTCTTACTTGTGAATCTCTCGTCTAGTTTCTTGTTTTCCACTCACTTTTGATCTTCGAAAATGTAAATGCAATATCAATATTTTAGAGTTAGTCGTTTTAATTCCTGTCCATTTAGTGTTCTCTCGCCTTAATGATATTTTTCTTATATTCTTTCACGCTCAGTAAACCACTGAGTATTAGTGTCTTTGTTGCCTTGATTGGGTGAGAAATGATTAAATGAAAAGTCTTTGAAAATCTTGCCTTGTATGTTGTCAAATCTTCTGTTGTATTCATACTGACTGATCATTTGTTGTATCGCGTTATTTCGCCGCGTTTTGCTTTAATTCTCTGCCGTATTTACTCTCTCACAACAGTCCCTTGATTCTTGAGATTTTATTGCCGTTCTAGTGTATGTCTATAAAGCTTTAGAACAATATTCTTTTATAACAAGGTATTTACTTTGCCAATATCCTGATTCAGCTTTTAAACGCCATCTCCAACATGTATCCTTCTATTTCCCAGATGTCTTCTTTATTCTTATCAGCTCAGTCACCAATGCTACATCAGCATAAATTAAATTATTGACCTGTCCGTTATTAGGCACCAGTACCTTCTCCATTTCGCATAAACTAAAGCCTGGGCCACTTTGAATAAAATAGATTTAATATGGAAACATTATCTAATAGAGAACCTAAAGCGGAGATTCTTTCGAGCCACTGTAGAGGCGATGTTAATGTATGGTGCTAGAACCTTGAAATTAACTAAAACCCTACAGTCTAAGCTGGATGAAACCTACACTCAGTTGTGAGTAACTTAATTTCTTCTGGAGACAACATGAACCCATCCCTGAGATTTACACAATCATAGGCAAACGCAGAAAACGCTTTGCAGGAGAGTGATGGCGATCAAATCAAGAACTCGTGAGGGATCTGCTGTTCTGGTCACCTCGCCATGGAGTTAGAAAGATTGGTCGCCCAGCAACCAAATACACCAGCTATATTATGACACAGAATGCCGCCATAATGACTTTCTGACTTTGATAAATGACTGTGATAGATTCATGAATATCCGAGCTATCTGGACGGAATAAAAAATATCTTCTCGAAGATCATATCAATTCCCTATGTCGTGACTTGTAACCAATGTTTCTGAACTCCTCTCGATGCCGCTAGATGCTCTTTATTATCACGCAAGAACATCCCTTTCATATATATATATATATATATATATATATATATATATATATATATATATATATGTATGTATGTATGTATGTATGTATGTATGTGTGTATGTATTCAGGTACGTATGTCTGGTGTGACAGCAAAATTGGCCAGTAGTTTAAGTTAAGATTAGGTTTGGACCGTTGTATCTGAGAAATGATTAAAGATATCTTACTGGAATTCTCCGAGGATTTTATGACATTATTGGGCTTTCTTTTGAGCAATAAGAGTGTATAGTTATTCTCTAAGCTTAATAGAATTATCGTGATGAAATCAATCATAAACGAAAATGATATGTTCAGCATTAATTAATCATAGCTTACTATAAGAAGCTCATAAGGGATTGAAATAAAGTTCATATATATATATATATATATATATATATATATATATATATATTGATACATGTTTCATTATTAATATGGGGAAGTGTTATGTATTTATTTTATGTAAATTCTTTTCATATCGTCTGATATATATATTATGATATATATTATTTCAGGATCCTTTTTTTAACTTATTCAAAATGATCTTCGCCTTCTCTAACCATCTAACTTTCTGTCCAGGAGTAACAAGGTTCCTGACACTTTTAACGTACGATTTAATTTTCATTTCTTTTTACACTGCTCTTTGGACTGTCATGAGTGAAACTCTTCTCTCCTGTGCCAAACGTTTTATGGATTGATTTGAATCATTTCTAATTGATCTCTTTATCTTTAAGTTGAAATGATGATCGGTCTTCCTGATGTGAATTCCTTATCCAGTTGTCTTCACTGTTTCCTCTTTTTTAAAACTAATTCACCGTTCTCCTGATGGTGGACTTTGAAGATGGAAGCCAGATTATGAATGTTGGTACCATCGCTGATGGTACTGAATGATCCTGAATTATTGGTCTCTCGATCTTCATTTCAACATTATGCTGCATTACATCTCATCCCAACTAACATTTTTCTAATAATGTGCCACTTTTGATCATAGCCCTTCTTTTTCTATTTCCTGTTACGGTTGTTTCATACTTCTAATAAGACAGTTCTATGTTAGACCCGTTAGAGAATTCATGGTTCTACTAGCGACAGTAATTTTAGCGCTACCATCTCTAGGAGGGCTTATCGTCAAGGCTAAAAAGACTCTCCTGCTTATGAGACACGATTATAACCAGTTCTTCGAGACTATGTGGTTATTACACAGGCATTTGACAAAGTTTGGCATAGGGGATTGCTACGCAAATTTTCCAGCTAGATGATCACTGGAAGAGTTTTCGCATTTGCAATTGAGCAGGTTCATGAACGCTGTTGTCAAGGGTCATCTGAGGCCCATGACCTAATGCAGGTATCCCTCAAATCATTCTCAGTACTTTGGAACCATGAGGTTATTATTATTATTATTCGTAGTAGTGGTAGTAGTATTCATGCATTTGAATGTTCACAGCAGATGTGGTAAATATCATCACTGCAGACTAAGTGAAAACAAGTCCCATGATATAGTGATTTTCCAAGTGTAGCTTAGATGTGACACAAGGCCGAAAGTAGGGGGCACCTAGTGAGGATCGAACTCACTACTCAGTCCTAATCTTTTTAGCGAGACAAGCTTGCTAACCATTACACCGCCTCGAGGTGCCCCGAACAAGTCCCATGATATATCCACCAACTTTCTCAGTCTCTTCGCTGACCTCAGCTACGAAATGGTATGGGCAGTTTGAGATTTAACTTCCATTACCTCTAATCACAATTACTTTATTATTATTATTATTATTATTATTATTGTAACAGTTCCAAACAGCCTGTGCTATTCCTACGATTCTATTTCATGTTCCATGTCTTTTTCAGCTCCCTAAAAAGGGCCTATTTTTGCTCTAATTTTCCACTCTCCTTCCCATTCACAGGTGCCTCGGCGTGGGATAATGGTTAGCGGGGCTAGTATGGTCTGACCATTACTACTGAGTAGGGCGTTCGATCCTGACTGGGTGCCCCATATAAGATTCAACATTAAGGATTTTCATGTTAAACAACCAAGCAACCAACATCGTTCGCATTCACACCGTGGGCCGACGTCACAGCAAGATCCATGATCTGAAAGTTTTTTTTTTTCTTAATCTTCCAGTCATGAGTATGGTATTCTTTCAGGGTTAATGTGTGATATTCGCTGAATAGGGAAACCACGCTCTCACATCTCTTTCCAGATAGTTATTCATCATCTTTTTCTTCGTCGTCATCGTCGTTGTCAGATTCTTCTTCTTCTCCTTATTATTATTATTATTATTATTATTATTATTATTATTATTATTAATTAGTATCACCCACTGCAAGGCAATGAAGCCACTGAGACACAAGGTGTTACAGGGTGAGGAAGAATTTGGATCAGAAAGATTAATAATGTACAGGAAGACAAATGAGTAATCAGGACAGTATAGCGATTGAAATTGCATTTAAACTTTTGCAGATTAAGTTTGGCTGGAAAGCCTGGGTTCGGAACGGAATTCAACAAGCGAGAAGTGCGAGTAAAGAAACTCCATGTACAGAACTTACGGCTACATCTCGCTAGCTCAACAGTAAACTGATGAGATCTCGCCGCCAGTCTAGTATTGCGCTTAAATTCATACAGTCTAGGTACCATGGCGAAGAGCTCACCCGAACAATTATCATGAAAGTATTTATAAAAAAGACACAGAGATGCAACCTTAAGGCGGTGGGAAAATGACTGAACCCGAGATGGGAGATCAAAACGAATAATACTGCTGATTCTTCTTTTCCGTTGTAAAACCCACATAAATCAAGTCATGCTTGGTACCTTGGACGGCGTATGTTAAATGGGAATCAGTTATCACATAAAGAAATCGTGATTTTTCTCTTTGAATTTGTGATAGAATTAACTTGAATCAGGTTGTACAACGCACAGGGGTTTCCTCTTCTATAGTGTTTTCGGGAGTACAACGGTCTGAAATTCCAATGTTAATTTCAGTGTGTATATGCGTTTCTTTCATTTTTTTCTGTGCCATGTCCTTTCAGGACGTAGACGATCATGACTCTCCATCTCCCTCTATCCCTTGCAGATTTCAACAAGTTCCTTCCCTCTGTTTCCTCCCCCAGACCATGTTCTGTCATCCACTTGCTTAAGTCCGCCAGGTATGTCACGCGTTTTTTTTCATTTGTCTCTCTTTCTGTCTATTCGACCCGTGAGCATCAGATTCTCCAGTGCCTCCTTCCTCATTATGTGTCCCAGAAACTTTAGCTGACTCTTCTTGATATTAAGTATAAGCCTCCTCCTTGTATGCTACCTCGCTAAGACCTCATCGTTGCTCAGACACTCGGTCCATGATATCCTTGGCATTCTTCTGTAGAACGACATCGTCGATTCGAATCTATTTTTTATCTTTGAGGAAATCGTCTAACATTCGCTGCCGTAAAGAAAGACATATGTCACGTAACAGCTCAATACTCTTTTCTTTGTTACCAAAGAAATCCTCCTGTCTCGCAATACTCTGCCCAGCTTTTGGAATGCGTCCTTGGTCAGCCAAATAGTTCTATGGATCTCAGGGTCGCACTTACCGTTCTCTGTCAAAACTTTTCCCAGATATTTAAAATTCTGCGTCTGATTGATTCTAGTGTTACCGACCTGCAAATTGCATTTCGGGTTCATCCTTTTGCTGATGACTATGTATTCTGTCTTGTAGTTTATGCTTAGTCCCTTCTTCTCACTCTCCGTTGCTACCTTCTGTAGGAACATTTATAATTTCGTTTCCGTGTCTACTATCAGTCATCTGTGTCTTATGTTGTTAAAATTAATGGCCGCCAATACTAAATCCTGCCAAAGTCATCTAAGGCTGTCAGTATTTCCGTTACAATTCCGTCTGGCCCAGCTGCTTTTTTTCTGTTCATTTAGGCCAGTGCAGCTTTTACTTCGGTTTTCAGAATTCTAGGTCCGTCAGTAGTTCTGTATTACTTGTTGTTCCCTTTCGTCGTGGAAGTGTTCTCCAATTTACTTGCCCCAGCTTTGAAGAACTTTTTTCTTTTCTAATATGAGTGTTCCATCCTTTGATTTTATTTGTTAAAATGTGTTTAATGTTTTTATTTCTTTTGAAAGAAACTATAGGCGGGTAGGGAAAATTTTCTTTAGAACACGGATATTTTTACGCAATATGTTCATAACATCCGTTTAGTAATTTTGTAATTCCAGCAAAATTTTGGTGCCAAATCATGACTAATGGAATTATGCCTGTCATTATTTTTGTGTTTTTCAGTCTTTTCACCTGGTATAAAATTGCACAGATTTAATATTTGATATATTGTTATCTTCAACTGAATCGTAATTCTTCAGTTAATAACTGAATAAGCCCCTTGCTGTTCTACGAATATTAAATACATGTAGCAATTCACCTTTTGCATCATTAAATATTTAACCTGGATAACTTTAACTAAACCAGTGTTACTCGCGTGTGAAATTTATAAAATCTTTCTTTTAAGACGATCTTTCAAGAAAATGGGTTTCTCAAGCCCAATAATTGTAATCGCTCTTTCCACTATCGACGGAGGGGGTGTTTCTTCTTAAGCTTTTTGTTTGAAATATCGTGGAACGTAAACATATTGAGTGGGTCATTATTTTCTCTTTCAGTTACATCCATCCATACATACACATATACATACATACATCATTATCATCAGTTCTGAGATTGCCCCAATCGTCGAGGAGACCTGAGTACAGAAGAAATCTTCCTCCAGTCTGATCTGTGTGCGGTGGCTCTCAGGAGTTCCCGGGCGTGAGAATGCCCGTTCACCGTCTCTCTGAAAGCAGGGGTTCGTACTTGCCACATTCCGATCGTTATTGCTGGTAATATATTTTTCCAAAGATGTATGGTAGCTAGTATTTTTTTCCAAAAATATATTGCTGGAATTTTTATACTTTCATAGTTTTGACACATTTTGGGGTGGTTAACCACTTGCCCACAGCTGGGACCCTGACACTAATGACCAATCCTGGGAACAGGGGTATTGTTTCAGTCGACCACTTGTGACGCACATCCTGATGTGAGTCAGCGTTTCGACCCGGGTCTCCACCAATCTGGCTTAGTATTTCTTTGATTACTTTTCCTCAGGATACTTTCAGTGGGCTTTCCCATACCTTGGCTGCTGCCCAACTCCTCTCTGTTTCAGTTGTTGCTAATGTTGAAGTCATCAGGTGATGTGCTTTATTTTAATTGGTACTGTTCTTTGTGATTCTTTAGTGTTATCCACAATATTCGAATAATGATAGACTTCCCCAAGATCTTTATGCTTCACTTGCTTAAAGCTATTGTTAACCGCATACGTTTAAGAATCTTATTTCTTAAACGTATGCGGTTAATTCTTCAAAGTACAATAGGTACAATGAAAAGATATAAAACTGAGATTTTTTTCTATTTTACTGAAGCAGACGCTAAACATAGATGAGAATTATTACTTCCATCATGTTCTTTTTCTTTCTTTTCTATTTCGTTTTTCCTTCGTTCTTTTTTCTTTCTTTTTTCTATCTTCTTACTTTCTTTTTGCTTTCTTTTTCTAACTGAAACCAAACAGCGTCTCTGATATATCGTCTCCGTTTTACCTGACGTTCAAAACGGAATAGTCCATTATATACGTGAGGCAATAACAATGACATAAAAAAGACTACGTACTAACAGGAGAATTATAATATGATTATTTTCTTTTGCACTTTGTTGACATGTTTCCCGAGGTATTTTCATCATTACGATCTTTTTATTCGTGATAAACATCCACAAGAAATTAGTTCGTATATCAATTAATTTGAAAGCGAATTTACAGAAGTGCAAGTAATATTAGAATATTGCTGGAGCATATAAGTATACGTATATAAGTATATGGCATTAATGAAATTAGTTGTGTCTGATTATCTACCTGAAATGATATGGAAAAAAATTCGACATATTTTTTTAAATTAAAATGTAAAACTAATCAGAAATAATTTTATTAAATTGTCGCTTGTATAGAATATCTCAATTGTCACATAATTTAAATCAGAATATATATATATATATATATATATATATATATATATATATATATATATATATATATATATATGAATTATCACGCATTGATGTATACAGAGTCAGGTGACTATCTTTCAACATTGTCATCCATCCTCTCTCTCTCTCTCCCTCTATATATATATATATATATATATATATATATATATATATATTTCATCAAAATAATTTTATTAAATTATTGGTTGTATAGGATATTTTAATTTTCATATAATTTAAATAAGGATATATACATATATATATATATATATATATATGTGTGTGTGTGTGTGTGTGTGTGTGTGTGTGTGTGTGTGTGTGTATTGCATTAACTATCTCTCTATCGGTTTTCCATCTCTCACTTCTCGCTTTGTCTCTTACACACACACACACACACACACATATATATATATATATATATATATATATATATATATATATATATTGCCATCCACTGACAGACTGTTTCGCATCAATGTGGCTAGACGTCCGGTTGCCTCTATCTAGGATCGAAACCCGGCTGAATTCGCATCAGTATATATATATATATATATATATATATATATATATATATATATATATATATATATATATATATATATATATATTAATTATAAGTTAATTATCAGAGTTGAATTAGACCAGTAGAGAGCTTTATTAAAATGTGCTCAAAAGACATATAAAAAGATTTAACATATGGAGCTTTTAAGTATAAATGTTTAGGAGATCAACCGATTCCGCTACCTTGGTTTTAAACTTTTGGTATCTTCAGGCGATTTCGCTCAATTGATATTCTAATGCTTTTTATATATATATATATATATATATATATATATATATATATATATATATATATATATATAAGTGCACGACATTGAGTGTGGCGCAAGGTAAGGAGGGAAGAGAAAAAAGCAAGTGTATTTGAAATGTATCAGTGGGGGTTAAATGAAATAGACATGCTTTCTTTTCATCACATTTCATATGAACTCAAAAGGAACTTTTTTGTATGTATACAGCAGGTCATAATATTTCGCTCTTTATTATTATTATAGCTAATTAATCTTGTTTACTGTGATTTTTGTAAGATTCTGTTTTTATCGCTTGAAGGTACCGATAGCTTGGAACCATGGTAACAGAATCGGCTGATCTCCTAATTTCATATATATATATATATATATATATATATATATATATATATATATATATATATAAAGAAGCACGTTATATCTCTGACCATAGTTGAAGTAAGACTCATATCAACAGACACGGAAAATTACCTGTGCTGTCTGTATCTATCTATCTATCTATATATGTGTGTTTGTGTGTGTGTCTATTTAACGTATCTAGTTGGTTCAGTCCATTCATATCTATCTATCTATATATCTCAGCCGATTCATATGTATCTGTTTATCTATTACAGTCTCTTCACATCTATCTATCTATCTATCTATCTATCTATCTATCTATCTATCTATGTGATTCTGTTCATTATCTATCTATCTATCTATCTATCTATCTATCTATCTATCTATCTCAGCCTGTTCGTATCTATCTATCTATCTCAATATATTCATATATATTACTCTATACCATTTGACTGCGTGCTTATTCCACTAACCGTTTATTTACCAATTTATCATCTGATTACATCATGTGTTTCTATATCCAACACTTTCTACCATTACTTACTATTCTGATTATTGCACCCAGCCAGAAATATGAAGGACTCACCGAAGACAGGACTCCCTATAGCAGTAATAGCTTGCTATGAATCTTGTCTCATCTCTATCTCAATATAATGATATACATCAGTCTATTTAACAAATCATTCTACATGTTTTTATCACTACATTAACTTTTACTATTGTCGCGTTTTAATCCAGCACCCAGCTTCGATAACCTCTTTGCGCGTGAGTACAATTCAAAAACTGAAAAATGAAAGGTCTAATAGAATCTGGCAGAAAATGAAAGAAAATTTTTAACGAAAATGCTTTGCCACATTTGAATCCATGATAGAAAATGAAACATAACACATTCTGAAAAGATGTTAAACAAATGACCAAACATAAACTAGCTGACCGGAGTGTGTGTTTAAATGTCTGCACCTTGAACGCCCCCAGATCAATCGATCACACCAACTTCCGTTTTCAGTCGCCCGTTTTATTTAATTGGAAAGAAAATCATATATCAGTAGCTCACATGACCATTGATTACTAATATTAAGCGTATTTTATGTGATTACTCTGCAGGTAGCGTAACGTATATCGGAACGGCAAAGCATCTCCGCTAGCCGACTCCTAATTCGGGCCTAGTCTCTAGCATTGCGTTCACTTTCACACATCTAGGCATCAATCTATCTTTCCCCTTGCCTCTGAATATGAGTTGACAGCAAGGTAGACTAGCTTTTGGTGGCAGTCAGTCCAAGAGATGGAATAATCTGAAGTCGAAAACGGTCAGGCGTGTGACTAGCAAATTTATTCCATAAACACCAACAGGAAACTTGCCTCGTATGTTGGGAGTTGCGGTCTTTCAATTCTCACTGATTTTGTTTGGTTTGTTTAGTTTTACGGCATATCAACACCTCAATGGGTTATTTAATGCCGACAAGGTTTTTATTGCTGGTAATATTTTTTTTTCCGAAAATGTATTGTTCGCAAGATTTTTTCAAAACTGTATTGCTGGTAATATCATTTTTTAACAGAAATTTATTGCTGGTAACATTTTTTCAAAAAATTTAGTGATGATAATATTTTTTTTTCCGAAAATGTATTGCTGGTAATATTTCTTTCCAAAAATATATTTTGTTGGTAATATTTTTCTTTTTCAAAAATGTACTGCTGGTAATATTTTTCCCAAAAATCATTTCTGGTATTAAAGTTTTTTTTTTTTTTTTTTTTTTACATGTGAACACCAGCAATTAAAAAGTGGTTACATATTCAAAAAACCTCCTGATCAAAGGCCTTGATGTCGGATGTAGTTTATCATCCTACCCAGGACACTGATGTAGTTTATTGTCTTCCCTATGACGCGGATATAGTTTATTGTCATACCTACCACGGATAGTTCTCGGTGGAGTAATTTATGTTATTGAGGTGCGATGCACCGGTAGTGTAACGGATATCTGTTCAGAAAAAGGAATTGGCGAATTAAGTTTAAATCCGGGCCTATTCTACAGAGTTTACTTTCATAAAGAATACCCCCATCTGGAAAAGGATAGAACAATCTCTTATTAGTAGATTGAACTCTTTAGCCTTCGTTGGTAACCAATCTATGAGAAGTGTAACTCCGAATTAACAAACATGGACAAATCTCTCTGCTATATTTTCCCAAGAAAGTATGGCAGTTTAAGGATAACAGAGAAAATAGATGTGTGGAGCGTCATTATCGCCTATGTCCAAATGCGTCATGGTATAAAACATAAGCAATATAATACGCAACTAATTTTAAAGGTAAAATTTCTCTAAAAGATGAAAGCAAATCATTTTTAAAAGGTGAACAAATACAGAATTTTATTTCACTGATTAAATACATTGAATTAAATGATCAAATACATTCTATTAAATGATTTAAATTCATTATATTAAATGATTAAATACACTGTATTAAATGATTAAATACATTATATTAAATGATTAAATTCATAGTATTAAGTGATTAAATACATTGTATTAAATGATTAAATCCATTATAGTAAATGATTAAATACATTGTATTAAATTATTAAATACATTGTATTAAATGATCAAGTACATTGTATTAAATGATTAAATCCATTATATTAAATGATTAAATACATTGTATTAAATGATTAAATACACTGTATTAAATGATTAAATACATTGTATTAAATTATTAAATTCATTGAATTAGATGATTAAATTCATTATATTAAATGATTAAATACGTTCTATTAAATGCTTAAATACATTCTATTAAATAGTTAAACACATTGTATTAAATTATTAAATACATGGTATTAAATGATTAAATTCATTATATAACATGATTAAATGCATTGTATTAAATGATTAAATACTTTTCTTTACTATTTAGCAAAACTTTCCAGGTCATTTTCGTGAGCTAACAGAAACTGAATACACCATTTAAATTGTTTTATTTTTTCCTGGAACTTTTAGAATACGGATAATATTTTTTGACATTTAATATTCGCCTTTATTGTCTATATTTTCTTAACATTTTACCACCCAACTATATTACATAAGCAGTTTTTAGCTCGTTATATGCTAATTGTGAATAAGCATTGCATAGAGCAACATAATGTCTTGTGTAATGGTGGCATCTCTTCAGTAGAATTGCCACACCGGGCGTTGCAAACATAAGTTTATAGCGCCAATTCTTGTAAATATTTGAAATATTTTTTTGATTGCTTACTTTTTAATGCAGTATTTAGAGAAACCAAAATTAACTCATCCTAAAATCTGTGACTACTTCCGATATCATGAATAGACAAGATATAACCCAATTCCTGTACGCATTTCCAAGCCAAATGCAATTCACCACCCGAGAACGTGTACTTTGTCGGTCACGAGATTCACGACATGACGTGTCTGAATATGTTTTTCCTCACTCCAGCTACGATAAAATTTCATCATTCCACGTCGTTGAATAGAGTACAGTAGGCTTTCTGTGACTTCTAAAACATGAGAATTAAAATAGAAAGGTATCCAACCTGTTAAATTCATTTCGTCTGCTAGCAGTAAAAATATCACTCTTCGCTGTGTTATACACTAGCCTGTATAAATTAGCCTCAATAAAATATCGATCATATGTACGCTTTATGTGAGTAATAACCGCTTGGTTTTCAACAAACAAAACGGCTGTCACTTAAAAGTTTATTTACGTACAAGAGCAGTGATATTGGATAAAATCGTTCATGCAATTGTCGAATTAATAAACGATGGGTTTCATAGAAAATATTTTCATTGTCGCGGGAGATCGAAGTCTATTGATAACATGGCCGATCGTTATACTTAGAAAGCGAGTGAATTTCATTAAATTGCGTGTCTCATTGAAAAAAAAACTTCATTTGACGAAGATATGAATATCGTCATAAAATTGATTATTGTGATACGACTCTGACGCATTTAGATGAGTATGTTAGAGAAATCGTTGAAGCAAACTTGTAAAGAAGCAATTAGTTTTTCCTTTTTTTAAAGAGAAATCCCTAAAAAATATTAAAAAGTCATTCTTGACCATACACATTATTCGAAAGACAAAATTTCAAATATGCCCTTCATATATATATATATATATATATATATATATATATATGGACAAAGAGAGATAGATACAAGGTGATGCGATGGATAAATTGTCGTCTAAATTATGCAAAATGAAAATAACATTGATATCTCATTTTAACAGATATTTTTACCAAAATTACGCAAAGGTATGTTGAAATACTAAAGAGTAAATTTATACAATAAAATCACCATTGGCCTCAGCTACGGCCTCCAGATGATTTTGGAATCTCCTGCATCTCTTCTGGACGGTATCCTTATTTCAGTTGGTGAATGCTGCCATAATGCTTGTCTGCAGTTCATTTTTTGGGTTTCAAGGAGTTTTGTTGGTCTCTCGATCAATTGCGTTCAGCACATAATAATCAAGACTGTTGCAGACTGGTAAGTTAGGTGGCCTGATGTAAGAAGTGATGTGGTGGCAGAAATTGTCTGAAAGCCTTGTCTGTGTTCTCCTGCTTAGGTGAGATTGGGCAGAATCCTGTTGCCAGACATAGGGTCTTCCAGCAGCCACCCTGTTGATCCAGAGCAGCACCACTGCCCGGGCTATGGACCTGATTGAATTGAGGGATTGTTTGCAATTATGGCCTGTATCGCATCAACAAATTCGGAAGTTCTTTTCTTATCAGAACTTTTAGATTTCCGAGCTGCCATATCTTCGTAATTACAATTAGACTTTTCTGACTCTTTCTGAATCCTCTGCAATGTCCTCAGATTGATTCTCCAATACTTTAAACGTTCGTATTGGAGCCTCCGGTGCGAATGCCAAGCAGTACACCATGATGTTTCCAAATTTCTGGCGGGGATAAATGGCGTGATGGTGACCTTTTTTTTTCACAAACGATGCACAGCTACGATACTGTGCAGACGACAAACTCAAAATCAAACAACGTACATGCGCAAAAATGAAAATCATGAAAAGGCGGCAATTTACTCATCTCACCCTATATATCTATATATATATTCACCACTAAGATATATATATATATATATATATATATATATATATATATCACGTAACATCCTCAATAGTTTTTACTGACTTTGAAAGTTGGACTGAAGTATATTTATGAGCGTTCTCATGTTTAATTTCTTAAAGCATACGATATTTTTAGATGATACAAAGTAAAATCTTTATAGCTTTCATATATATATATATATATATATGTGTGTGTGTGTGTGTGTGTGTGTGTGTGTGTGTGTGTAGCGAGAGAGAGAAAGAAAGAGAGCGGCAGATAGATTGATAGATAGATAGATAAACAGTCAGAGATAGATAGATAAACAGTCAGAGATAGATAGATAGATAGATAGATAGATAGATAGATAGATAGATAGATAG